CGTCGTTCGATCAGTGCCGTTATGGTGCCATCTCTTGGAAGCCGACGTCGGTCGTCACGAATGATGTTGCGCTGAGGGGCGTCCTGGGACTTCTTTGTCACCGCCGTCGTCGCCATCAAGTTCTGCGTAGTCTGGCATCTGGCGGGGGCTCCGTCACGTCGCACCTCGCTCGCTAGCCTTCGCAGCCGTGCCAGGCCCCGTCCCATTCGATCGCGCAGGCTTACGCGGGGGCGCAAGAGTTGCCGCGCCATGGCCGAGGATCCTGGCGGGCGCCGCGGGCGCATCACTACCTTTATGATGAGTGAGTGCGGCTGCGCCGTGGGCGTGCTGCTGTGCTTCGCGGGCCCGCTCGGCGCCTCGGAGGCGCTGGCGTTGGGCGGCCCCGCCTGGATGCTTGCCGCCGCGAGCTGCGTGGCGCTGCTCGGCCACGCGAAACGCGGTGCCGAGCACATAAATAAAGCGAGCCACGCGAACCTGGATGCTCGACCACATATATATATATATATAAGTGGTTGTTTATTCATGACTACTTATATATGTACATGCAAACAACAAACACATGTACATACATTCATACACACGCGCATTCATATATGCGTACATACACGCATACCTACATATACTAATACACCGACTGCGCCTCCTCTGTTCGGCTACTTTTTTTTATTGCGAGTGCGCCTTATGGCGCATCTCTCTGATGCACGCAGGCCTCGTCGTCGCGAGTGGATTATCTCGAACTGCTCGCTTTTGTCCGAGGAGGGGGCTTCTTGCCTGGATGCTGAGGATAAGCGTCTGCGCCGAGAGGCCCAGCGTAAAGGCCACAGTCACCATGTGGCAGTTGCGTCTGCCCGCCGGGCTGACGGACCATCGCCGGCCGGGTGCGTCGGTGATTTGAATCGTTTATTCGTGCATTTTTGACGTGACCAACACTGCGGACTTTTTTTTATATATATATATATATATATATGTATATATATATATATTATCATACGCACCTCTCCGAGGGAGTAGAGCTCAGAGGCGATTAGTGCGCACGCGTCCGCGATTTTTCTGGGTGTTTCGCTCGGGACATCCTCGAAATTCTGAAAATCGGTGGCACCCCTCACGCAGATCGCGACGTCAGGGTCCAAAAACACATGGGAAATTCACCATTTTAACATAAAACCTTCAAACACACATGGTAATTTCAATAATTGTGACCCCGATTCTCAGTGAATGGCGGTTTCGCTTGAAAAATCCTTCCAAAATCGAGCCCCAGACCCCGCCTCGGAGCCTCCTGGGGGCCTCCTGGAACCTCCTGGGGCCTCCTGGGCCTTCTGAACCTTCTGGCACCCCAGACCCCGCCTCGGAGCCTCCTGGGGGTGTCCTGAAACCTCCTGGGGCCTCCTGGGGCCTCCTGCGGCCTCCTGGAGCCTCTTGGGGCCTCCTGAAGCCTCCTGGGGTCTCCTGGGGCCTCCTGAGGCCGCCTGGGGCCTCCTGGGGCCTCCTGGGGCTTCAGAACTACATGCACACAGAGACACAAATCACGCCCAACACATCACACGCTAGACAAACATAACACACACACACAACACCTACAACACACAAAAAGCACGCACCACACGAAGCATACATCACACACACACACACACACACACACACACACACACGCACAACACTCACAATCCTGGGGCCTCCTGGAGCCTCTTCTGGTATCCAAGTCGGGCCTCCTAAGGCTTCCTGGGGGCCCTGGTACACACATCGCAAGGTGTGGCAACCCCACTTGCGCTCGAGTGCGACTTCGATGTTGCATTTCACTCCTGCTTCAAACGCCCCTTCAGTTTGTTGTATGAGCCTGGGCACACACGTGCCACTTGTATGTATATATACGTGTGTACATATAAATATATACACATTCATACATATACCAATGTATGTATGTATGTATGTTTGCATGTATGTATGTATGTATGTACGTACGTACGTACGTACGTACGTATGTATGTGTGTATATATGTATATGTATGTACACACATCTCCCAAAGGGGGCCCTCGGGAACACTGATGTTGCACATGGCCGTTTTGGACCCGCCAGGGAGCGCCAAAACGCGTCAAAGGATAAGAAGAGGGGCGACGAGAGGGCCCACGAGACGTCCAGAAGGGCTCCAAAACGGCCCATCAGCGCTCCCAGAAAACCCAAGACCGCCCAAGGGGAACTTTTGGTGCTGCTCCCGAGCGATGTAACGCCTTGCCAGATCCGAGGGCGCTGGCAGCTATGGGTGCCGCTCTACGAGCACCAATCCACGATCGCCACTCCACTGCCTCTGGGGCTGGAAAGGACTGCTAAAATACTTCAACAACTGGAAGGAACATGCCGCCACGCTGGTCCCGGGCAGGCTGCGTTGCCCAGCTGAATGGGACGAGTAGGGGAAAAACAGGCAGACGACGAACGCTTAGGCGGGAGGCCAGGACTGGCGGAGCGGGCGGGCAGGCAGCAAAAACGGTCCAGGCGGAGACAACAGGCATGTAACAGGAGGAGAAGAAAGGGACGGAAGCAACGCGCAGAAGGGGAGGGAGGAGGAGGACAAGGAGGAGGGGAGAGGAAACGCAATCGCAATTAGACAGGCCGGGCCAAGGGCCGGGAGAGAAGAGTCACCCGCGACGAGGTTACGGACAATACCGCGGCGACCTGGGCGGGGTGGCCGCCCGAACCCAGCACGCTGCGGTTTGGTGGGGATTACCTTTTGCGGGGTCCATCCACCACCCCGCCGAGGAAAGGCTCGAGGGCGCGCGTGAGGGGTCGCCGTCGCGACGCTGGCGACAGGGCGCGGGGGGCGCCCGTGCTGCCCACGGGTGTGCGGGGGGGAGCGCTACGCAGCGCCGGGGGCACCTCACACGGCGTCCGCCGTGGAAACAACCGTGGCCGCGGTCACGCGGGCCGCTGCCACCCCCGCCCTTCAGAACTGCGTCTGGGAGCGCCGCAACACCGCCGTCGCTTCCCTGTGCAGGGATACGGAAAATCGCGGGCCGTGCTGGTCCGCAACCAGTGCGGCATCTTCCCCCGTGGCGTCAACCACCCGTTTGGCCAGAACCCGAAAGGCTTTGCGCACCTCGCGGCTCCAGCCGGCGCCGTGGGCTTCCTCTGCCATGGGGATGAAGGTGAAACCACGTGCCGCGCATAGTCGCGCGGTGTCTGGGTGTTCGTAAGACCGCTTTCAAGACAACCCAAGAGGGCCTGCTTCAAAATTGCCGAGACGCCGCAAAAAGAAGTCCCACGAGGTCCGCAGGAGGCGAAATAAATACGTTTTTTGCGTTGTTAAAAGTTTTCCGTGTTCTGGCTTTCTCGTGCTTCCGACGGGCCAAGACAGCCCGCGAGGCCCCAATTAATTGTCGGTCCAAAGCGGCCCAACTGTCTCCAAAAAAAGACCCCGGCACGGCCCAAGAGAGTCCGAATACCGCCGAGAGGCGTGCCAAAACGGCCCCAAGACGGCCCAAAAGGTGTCAAATGGCTTCAAGAGAGGTTCAAGGTGGCCCTAATATCCTTCCAAGAGGACCCCAACAACGCCCCAAGACAGCCCGAGCCTTCAAAGACGTCCCACATGGGCCCCGGGACGGCCGAGAGGTCGTGAACTGGCCCAACAAGGCCCCGAGAGGACGCCCAAGAAGGCCCAGAGCCGCTAAATGCAAGTATTGTCGCCCGGCTCTTGTGTTTCACCCCGTAGCGGGTTCCAAACACCAAAGGTCGTAAGTGCGGTCGGCGGTGTGAGCTCAAAACGGCCCAACGAGATTTTCGACACGCCAGGAAGGCGGCTCCACGCGGCCTAAGTGCTCCAATTGCTATTGATGCCTCTGCTTCCTCCTCCCTCCCCGTCCTCGCCCCGCACCTTCGCGGACAAAAAACGTCGCTTCGAGATGCGTCCAGCCGCGGCGACGACGAGAACCCCCGAAGACGAAACTATTTCGGACGGCCCGGCACCTCGCTATCATCTCGCCCCCTTTCTTGATTCCCTCTCCCCGTGGTTTGTAAGAAGATTCCAATCAGCCCGAGAGATCTTCAACAGGAACCAACATGAGCCGAAGACGGCCCAAAAAGGGCACCAAAACGCTCAGGATGGCCTCAGCACGGCTCAAGAGGTCCCCCGGACACCCCAGGAGAGCACCCAGCGCCCTGTGCTGCGCCGCAACGTGATAGAGGAACGAATCATCACATAACCATACATACTCGGAGGTCCGCGTGGATTTTTCGGATCGGCGCAGACTCCCCTCCCTGGCGAGCGGAGCCCGCCATGGGCGGCGCCGGAGGCGCCGCCAGGGGGGTCCCGCGCGGATCCGAGACATTCGCGCAGACCACTGGGTTTTTATGTTTCTGTCATTCTTCGTTCCCCTCCTAAAAGTCTTCTCCCCCTTGTGCTTCTGGCTAGTCCTCTCCCCGCCACCCCCGCCGCCCCGCCAGACGGGCTCCCCGCGCCGTGGCCCACCTCCGCGCCGCGCGGCCGCCTCGGCTTCCCGCGCGGCCGCTGCCGCCGGCGGCGACGACAGACGACAACCGTGGCCGCAGGCCGCTGCGTCGCCCCAGAGATCCGACGCTCTCCCAAAATTGGAGCGGCGGAGTTTCGGCTGTTTTCGGCCTTGGGGCCCTCGCCAAGTTTTGGGATTATTGAAGAACTCCGGGACGAAAAAGCGGCTCAAGAACGTGTTCCAGATTTCGGGGGCCCACGCATCGAACAAAATAAAGCAGCCGGATGTTTGGGGTGGCAGCCGTCGCCTCCGTCGTCGTCGTCGTCGTCGCGGGGGGGATGAGGAGTTGAGGGAGGAGGAATGGGTGAGGGATTGGGGGGGCGGAGGGAGGAGGTGGAGGGATTAGGGGAGAGCAGGGGGAGGAGGAGGAGGAGGAGGAGGAGGAGGAGGAGGAGGAGGAAGAGGTGGCGGGAGGAGGAGGAGGAGGAGGAGGAGGAGGAGGACGAGGTACGTCGGGGTTGCTAAATCGACGCCGGTTTCTCTGGCTTTCGGCTCGAGCCCCAGGGGCAGTTTCAACATGATCGACCCACGAACGCGAAAAGGAATACAGAACTGTAAGGCATGACAACGTTTTCTTCAAGACACCTGATTGGGCGACGGACAATTGCAATGCTGAGTGTATCGATCTTGATGTGTCGTGCTAAGGGCTGTGCTGTACTGCGCCGTGCTGACTTGCGATGTGCCACGCCGCGATTGTGCCCTGTAGCGTTGTGGATCGAGTCCTCCTTTGTATCTGAGTCCTGACCGAACTCATCTGGATTTTAAGCTCGAGCTGCCTGAGCACATAGTAGCTGCCCCAAAGCTAATTGACAGGGGGGCATGCCAGGGGGACGCGCCGCGGAACGTCCCAAGAGACGCCAGGGGACGTGCCAGGGGACGTGTCATTGGGACGCACCGCGTGACGTGCCATGGGGACGCGCTACGGAACGTGCCAATGGACGTGCCACGGGACGTGCCAAGGGACGCGCCGCGCGACGTGCCAAGGGGACACCACGGGATGCGCCACGGAACGTGCCAGGGAATTTGCCAGGCGACGCGCCAGGGAACGTGCCAGGGAACGCGTCAGGGAACGTGCCACGGGACGTCCCTGACCCAGGGCCAGGATTTTTTTTTCGCTGCGTCCGCGCTGCCAGGGCCACGATCCACTTCAAATTACGATTCGTCCGCGCTCCCAGGGCCACGATCCCTCGTAAATTACGTTGCGTCCGCTCTGAATTGCGATATGCCAGGCCGCGAGTGTGCTCTATAGCGTTGTGGATCGAGTCCTCCTTGGCGTTCGAGTCCAGGGACGCGCCAGGGGGCGCGCCAGGGCGCTAGGGGACGCTCCACGGACGGGCGGGGTTGGACTGCGACGCATACTATTGCGACAAGCGTTTCGCTCGAGGCATCCTCAACAATTCCGCATGTCAGACATCCGCCTGGGCGACCTGGACACGTGAAACCAAGCGTCTCGCTCGAGACGTTCTCAACACCTCCTCTGCCTGAGCGGCCTGGACACGTGAAACCAAGCGTCTCGCTCAACGCATCCTCAACACATCCTCATGCTAGACATTCGCCTGAGCGACCTGGACACGCGAAAACGAGCGGTTCGCTCGAGACATCGTCCGAACATCTTCATGTTAGACATCCGTGTGGGCGACCTGGGCACGTGAAAACAAGCGTTTCGGTCAACACATCCTCAACACCCCCCATGCTAGACATCCGCCTTGGCGACTTGGACACGTGACAACACACTTCTCGCTCGAGACATCCTCAGCACATCTTGATGTTTGACATCCAGCTTGGCGTCCTGGGCATGTGAAAACAAGCGTCTCGCTCGAGACCTTCTCAACACATCCTCATGCTTGGGCGGCCTGGACACGTGACAACAAGCGTTTCGCGCGGGACATCCTCAACACATCCTCATGTTAGACATCCGCCTGGGCGACCTGGACACGCGAAACCAGGCGTCTCGCTCGAGACGTTCTCAACACCTCCTAATGCTAGACATCTGCCTGAGCGCCCTGGACACGTGAACCCAATCGTCTCGCTCAACACATCCTCAACACATCCTCATGCGAGACATCCGCCTGAGCGACCTGGACACGTGAAAGCAAGCGTCTCTCGAGAGACATCCACAACAACTGCCCGTGTTAGACATCCGCCTGGGCGACCTGGACACATGAAAACAAGCGTTTCGGTCAACACATCCTCAACACATTCTCATGCTAGACATCCGCCTGGGCGACCTGGACAAGCGAAAGCAAGCGTCTCTCTCGAGACATCCTCAACACATCCTCATGCTAGACATCTGCCTGGACGACCTGAACGCGTGAAGCCAAGCGTCTCTCTCGAGACATCCTCAACAAATCCTGATGTTACACATCTGCCTGGGCAACCTGGAGGCGTGAAGCCAAGCGTCTCGCTCGAGACATCCTCAAGACCTGGGTACGTGAGAACAAGCATTTCACTTGAGGCATCCTCTGAAATTTGGCCCCCAGGAGAGGAACGATCCATAGCACGAAATAAACGTTTCGCTCGAGACATCCTCAACCAATTATGCAAAACAAGCGTTTCGTTCGAGACATCCGCAACAAACGAAACTGCCTACTTTACCATGTGTTTTATCGATCGGAATTTCAAAAATCAGCGTTCCGCTCGGGACGTCCTCAAATTTTAGTTCGCCGGCCCACTTCGACGTCGTTATTTATCGCAAAGTAAGTTCGCCGGCCCAACTCAAAGTCGAGTTGAGGCCAGCCCGGGGGGGAACAGCTAAAAGAGAACCCTGGGCCGACCCCCTTTCCGTGAAAAAAGGTTGAACGTCTATATTGTTTGTTCATGTTTTTGTTCAGTATTTCTGATGTGCGGTACTATCAGCACTTCTTACGGCGCGTTCAATTTGTTGATGCAGTGCGAGTTGCCCCCGAATGTTTCGTTATTGTGCGCTGCTACGGTTGCAAAGCCCAGCCCCTTTTGTTTCTTGGATCGCTTATCGCTCGGCGTTGCTTGCGCAGACTGCTTCTCGCCTCTTGCGCAAGAGCCCATGCGCGAAAAGCGCGCGATCCTGTAGTACCAAGGTCTTCAACGGCGGCGCCGGCTGGCAATTTGAGCTTTGGAGGCATACCCAACAGTTATCTCTCTCATGATTTAGAGTGTTTTTGTTGTGATGGTTTACGATGCGCTGTAGTGTTGCTATGATGCGACCGCGGCCACAGTGGTGGAATTGACATAGGATCACCTGGCCAAAAGTGCCCCCAAACGGCCCAAGAAAGGCCCAAGACGGCTCCGGACGGCGCCGAGACGGCCCAATATTGCCAAAGAGCCCCACGACCGCCTAAGAAGACCCAAGAAGCCCACAAGAGGACCAAAGAGGCCCCCAAGAAGCCCCCAACAGGCCCCAAGACAACCCCGCGTGGCGCCAGGAACCCCCAGGGTAGCCCGATAGGGTCTCCAGGACCATCTTCTGATTCAACGTTCTTCTCCAACTGCATCTTTCTCCGCCGTCGTCGTCGTCGTCGTCGTCGTCGTCGTCATCGTCCTCCGCATTCCTACTCGCCCTCGTTCTCTTCGTCCTCGTTCTTGTGCTTCTCTTCCTCCTCGTTGTCCTCGTGCTCATCCTCGCTATCCTCACGTTCTCCACGTCCTCGTCATCGCCTCCTCGTCGCCCTCGCATTTCTTGTTTCTTCGTCGCCCACTAAACCCATTGGACTAAGGCGGAGCTTCCCGTACTTGTCCGATCAGGTTTCTGAAAAATGGCCGTTTCGCTCGAGACATCCTCAAAACATCGTCCTGGAGGAAACTCCGAATGGACATCGTCTTGGAATCGCTCCCGGAGAGTCTTCGAACGGCCCAAAGGAGGCTCAAAAGACGCTCCGGTGGTCCCCAAGAGCGCCCAAGAGGGCCCCAAGAGGACCCCAAGAGACTCCCAAGAGCGCTCCAGGAGACACCCAGACAGCTCACAAGAACCCCAAGACGGGCCAAGAGGGCCCTCAGAGATTCCCGCGCACGCTCCAGGAGATCCCCAAACTGCCCGAGAAAACCCCAAGACGGCCCCGGATGGCGCCGAGACGGCCCAAGAATGCTCCCAAAGAACCCCACGACGCGCCCAGACAGCCTAAGAAGACCCAAGAAGCCCACAAGAGGACCAAAGAGGGCCTCAAAACAACCCCGCGCTGCGCCAGGAGCCCCTAGAGTACACTGATAGGGTCTTCGGGACCCTCTCCTGATTCAATGTCCTTCTCCAATTGCATCTTGCTGTCCTCCGTCATCGTCGTCGTCGTCGTCATCGTCCTCCGCGTTCCTCCTGGTACTCGCTCTCGTTCTCTTCGTCCACGTTCTTGTGTTTCTCTTCCTCCTTGTCATCCTCGCTATCCTCACGTTCTCCACGTCGTCCTCGTCATCGCCTCCTCGTCGCCCTCGCCTTCGTGTTCTTTTCCTTCATACTAGAATTATCATTCGTCTTCATCTGCTTCTTCTTCTTCATCGCCCAATACGCCCACTGGACTAAAGCGGCGCTTCCCGTTCTTGTCCGATCAGGTCCACAATCCGGTCACAAACCGAGCGCGCATACAGTCAAGACGTTGAAATCAGGACAGCTTTGGGCTCAGGAGGAGCTCGGGTGCTCGGGCCGTTCCGTGGATGTGCGTCGTGGGGGCCCGTCTGGGACCTGGGCCTGGCGTGGCCAGACACGCCCGTGCATTCCTCCTGGAGCCCGGAGGGCGGGAGCCGCGGCGGGCCACCTCGGGGGGAGGTCTGCACCTCAGATGCTGCAACCGGTGGGCGTTCGGGGGGATGCTGCCTCGACGAGGGTCGGCACCAGTGGTTGCAACATGTCTTGGGGCCCTGTTGGCGTCCCGTGGGGGCTCGGACGGCCGTGGCCCGGGGGGGGCGAAGTGCGCGAGGGGTGGCCCGAAGTGAAAGCTCCCCTGAGCCGTCTGATGGGGGTGAGCCGAGAGCGCGAGGGGTGCGCCGAGTTGGGGCTCCCTCTGGCCGTCTCGATCGCCATGAGCTCGTCCCTGGAGCTCCACGGGGGACGAAGTGCGTGAGGGGTGTGCCGAACAGTGGTTGCAGTCGAAGTGGAAAGGCAGGTCGTTCGTAGTTGTACGTCCCCCGGGAGCCTCGAGGCCCAAACCATGCATTTTCGCACGTCTCCCAGGCGTCTGAGGGCGCAGGTCGCTCGCATGGTCACGTGTCCCAGTAATGTGCAGGGCTAACACAGCGTGAGGTGTGTGTGTGTGTGTGTATCTGGAATTGAGCGCAGTGTCCCAGTCGAGTGTGGACCAAGAAATGCGTTAGGGGTGGGCCGAAATGGCTGTGTCGTAGCCATGAATGCGTTGCTGACTCATTGCTAAGGCCTTGTGGCCTTTGCCGCCGACCCTGGAGGCCTCGGCCCTCGATGGAAATGGGAGGGAGAGGGCGGGCCATGGGCCCCGGGAGGGTGGTGTTCTGACCCGGGATCACCCCCCCGGGACCACCCCCCGGGACCCCCCCCCTCCTCCGCGGGGAAGGGATCAAAGGGAAGGTGCTTCCTTTCGACTCGATGACAACGTTGCTTAATTTCGCAGTGGATGGGCTGGTGTAGTTCGGTTTGGCTGGCGTGCTTGAGGACGAGGGCCCAAGGGAAGGGAGGGAGCGGCGACGGACTCCGGGAAAGGAGGGGACGAGATGGCGGTGGCGACGCGACGGCAGCAGCGACGGCGATGGCGACGGAATTGCCCCTGTCACACGCCGACAGGGTCGGCGGATTCTTGCGACTCGCAAAATAATGTCAGACAGGATATGCTGAAATGCGTGAGTGGTGCGCCAGAACGAGGCTTTCGCTGTCTTGAGGACACATCTCACCAGTGTTTTTTACATGTCACAGGAGCTGTCACGCGCGTGGGCCTCGCAATGGGAGCACTTTTCATTTGTATTTGTACGTGTCCACAACAGAATGAATAGAATTGCCCGGCGAAGTCTGCGAAGCCATTTTTACCATGCTTTTACGCATGCTTCTCATTATCCTCTATTTCATCATCATCTCATCATCTACCCTCGACGCCTAACACGGCGAGGGCCCGCAGGGGGACCGCCGAATCGCTTCGCTCATTCCGGCGACCCATATTGCACCATTGTTGCTATGTGTTGCTGTGCCCATGGCGGGCGAGAAGGAGGATAGGGGACTCGATAGAGGAGGGGAAGGAGGAGGAGGAGGAGAAGGAGGAGGCCTCTCTACGGCCTCTTGGCACTGTTGGGAGCAAACTGAGTTGCGGACAAGATGCCGCTTTGGAAGGCTTCCTGGTGTCTCTTTTCTTGCGAGACCTCTCGGGAGCCTCTTAGCAGCATTTTGGGGACTTCCTGGGGCCTCTTGGGGGCCCCGTGCTGCAGTACTTTGGGCTTCTGGGGGCCTCCTGAGTAGGTCTCGGGGGCCAATTTTCGGGGAAGGCTCGATACGTATGTCTGGTTGGGTTCTCCCTCTTGGGGCCCTCATGGGAGCCTTTTGGAGCCCTCTTGAGCCGTCTTTGGGTCGTCCTGGGAGTCTTTTGGGCTGACTTGGGGCGATCTTGGAGGCCTCTTGGAGCGTTCTGGGGCGCCCTGGGCGGTCCGAAGCTTGACAAGGCCATAACGCCGACATCTGTTAACATCTCCAGCAAAATCAATGCATTTCGCCTCTTGGAGCTCTCCTGGGGCGTCTTGGGCGCCTCTTGGGCCGTCCTGTTGTCAACTTGGGCCATCTTGGAGCGCTCTTGGCCTGAGGCCATGGGGCCTGCCACCTGCTTCTTTGGCGCCTCCTCCTTGGGGCGCTCCGGGGGTCTCCAGGGCCGCGCCCGGGAGTTCCGGCATCCGTGACCCAGACTTGCGGGACCCCCAGGGGGCCGCCACGCGCGCGCGAACTAGAAGCATTCTGAAATTCTTACAGGAGATCATAGTAAGTCTCTGGTCCGTTGGTCTGGTCAGACAAGCCCCTTCGTTCCTTATGATGTGTTCCTTAGTTCTGGTAGCACGATGACTTTACCGAGTGGGGATCGCCGATTGGTCAAAACGTTCTTTCTTACAGTTTCTTACATGTCCTTTGAAGGTCCCCGTCAGGCCTCGCCAATCTACGTGTAACGGGGCACCGTGATTTGGCTCGAGAAGCCTGTGCTGGCATCGTGTGAAATGCGGTGGAGGCTTGAGCCGAGTCCTCATGAATTCCAAGTCGGAGACCTCGTTTGCGCGAAGGGCGACAGAGAGCGTTCTGTGGTGGAGGCGGAGGTGGCAGACGGCCTTCAAATCAGGCGCCTCAGCGATGCAAAGCTGCGCCAGGTAAGGCCTTCGCAGCTTGCACTGTTGCGGTCTAGGGAGGACATGGGCTGCGACATTGGCGTCATTACGGCCGAGACCGACATCTTTCGACATATGGCGAGAGTGTTGCCAGAAACTGGCGATGTCGTGATGGAGGTCGGTAGCGCCACAGGTGCGTGCACAGCGATCCTCGCTCGCAGCTGCGGCAGCGAAAATGTCATCGGGATCGACATCTCCATGCAGGAGGTCACACGCGCTCGGCTGGAGCATCCTGACTTGCGCTTCGAGAACTTGGATGTGCTGAAGGAGAAGGAGAGACTTCGAGATCTTGGACAGGGAGTCTCTATTCTTTTTGTTGACATAGGTGGGATCCGACAGCTTGCCGACTTGATGCGCATAATGTATGCCCTCCGGGCTGCGATATCCCCCAAGGTGCTCGTCATCAAAAACAGGGAGTTGTGGACGTTGGTTCAGGGTGTGATGCAGCGAGGCTGCTTGCGGGAATTGAACTTCGAAAGGCTAGAGCACGAGCGCATTTCGAGCGCATCGCCCTACGAGTATTGGCAGTTCTGGCGCAGCTGCGGCCTCGCCGACCTGGGTCGGTACTTGAGGGTTTTCTCGGGACTGCCGCCGGAGGTGATCGACGAGCTGGAAGCAGCGGCCACTGCTTCGCGCAACCCTCACCAGGCGAAGGTGATGCTTGGCAAGGCTTCGGATTGCGCGCAGACAGCCCCCCCGGCAGTTCCAACTGGCCTCAGCAGACCATTTGGTACTACAGTGGGGGCGCGCATCAAGAAATCATATACTTTTCGTCAGGGTATCCTGGGATTTTCTTCGCTCCGCGCGCTGCGCGGCGACTTCCCGCGGGCGTTGAAGGAGCTGCTGCGTTCAGAGTGCTCCAGGGTTCCCCTCCGGTGCACTTCGCGCGCGGGTTTTCAGGGTTGGGCTTCTTGCGAGGGTTTCTTGCGGCCGCGCTCGCACTGTCCTCGGGGGGCCCGCCAAGGCCAGCCGGGACTACTTGGGGGGGGGCTCTCTGTGCGCAGCCCCGCGCTTTACCAATGCAGCCCTCACCAGGCGAAAGTGGTACTCGCCGATAGCGCCACGAGCCGGTTCCACGGAAGCCACGTGCTGCCGGGCATCCACGCCGCAGCGCGAGCAGCATTCTGCGGCGGCGACTGCGCTGCGGACGAGCTGCCGAGTGTGAGGGCCGCTGTGGGCGTACGATTGATTGACCTCTACATGCAGCTGGGCTTCGCAAAATCGAAGAGGGAGGCACAGCGGGTCGTGGAGGCCGCGGGCGCGAAGCTCAACGGCCTCGTCGTGGACGACCACCGACGAGTCATCACCGAGCCGGACTTCGTGGAGGGAAAGCTACGACTGTCGTTGGGGAAATTCGAAGAAGAAAACAGAAACCATAAACATAAACTTTTGGCGCTCCGCGCGGATTTATTGGATCCGCGCTGGGCCCCCCCCCCGCGACGCCTCCGGCGCCGTCCCTCGCTCCGCGCGCCAGGGAGGGGGTTCCAGCACAGAGCCAGGAAATCCGCGCGGAGTGCCAAAAGTTTATGTTCATGGTGTTCCCTTTTTTTTCTAGGAATGCAAGCATGGCATCGGGTTGTTGGATGCAGCATACGCGCCGTGCTCTGCTGATCCGGATGGAAAAAAACCCAAGTGCTGGCCGGCTTTGCCAAGCAGCGCGCCAGGCCCCACGTGACGGAAGTGGGTGAGGAGGAGAGGGGGAAGGATGAACCAGTATGCCCGTGCCCCAGACAATCACAGGGGGGATAATAAAGTTCGCGGCCGCGGGGGGATAATAAACGGTTTGCGCCGGCAAGTCGTGCGTGGCATGCAGATTGGGAGGTAGTTTATGTGAACCCGACCCCGACCCCCAACCCGGCCCCGACCCCCAACATCGGCGACTAGCTTCATGTCGTGGATAGGCCAGTACGTCCAAAAATGGGTGGGAGGGGGCGGGTTGGGCAGGAGGAAGGGAGGAAGAGGGAGAAGGAAGAGGAAACGATGGCGGGGAGTGCTTTCGGAGCTGTGTTCGATAATATCCAGGGTCCTGCAAGGGAGGGCGGGAGGGAGGGAGTGAGGGACGGCGGGAGGGGGATGGAGGAGGAAGGACGGCGGAGGGGTGATGGAGGGATGTGGGGAGGAAGGAGGAGGAGGAGGAGGAGGAGGAGGAAGACGAGGAGGAGGAGGAGGAGCAGGAGGAGGAGGAGCAGGAGGTGGAGGAGCAGGAGGAGGAGCAGAAGGAGGAGGAGGAGGCGGAGCAGGAGGAGGAGGAGCCGGAGGAGCAGGAGGAGGAGCAGGAGGAGGAGGACTAACGCCACAGCGTCAAGCTAAGGTTAGTCTAACGTAAGAAAGGAGGAGGTGGGAGGGACGCTGGAGGGAGAGGGGGGAGGGTGGAGGCAGGGGCAGGAGGAGGTGGGAGGCAGGAGGGAGGAGGGAGGAGGGGGCTCCCCTCCGGAAAGGGTGAGGGGTGCCCCCTCGGGCTCTTCGCGCGTGCTCCGGCGGCACGGCTGTTGCCCTGCTGCGCCGCTGGCGCCGGCGCCGAGGCGCCCGCCCCCTTCTTCGCCGACTGGTCCTCCGGCGCCTCGGCGGGCCGAGGCCGCGCTGCGCGCCTACGGGGCAGCGCTCGGCCCGCGGCGATGTGGAGCCTTGCGGCGTCCAGGGGCAAGGATGGGGCGGCATGGACAGATGGGGGGGATAGAGATTGTTTTTTTATCCTCTGGGGGGTAACGCTCGTTACCCGGGCCTCTCCCCCCACCCCCCCCCACCCGTAACGGTAACGCTCGTGCGCGGGGGGGGTCTCGGTCTTCCCCTCCAACATGCTGGTGCCCGAAGGCATGCGCACTGTGGTGTGGTGGTCGCAGGCGCACTGTGGGCGCTCGCAGGCCATTGCGGCGCTCGCATGCGCGATGCTGGTGCTTGCGGGCTTTGCGCTTGTACTCGAATCGTCGTCGTCGTCGTCGTCGTCGTCGTCGTCGTCGTCGTCGTCGTCGTCGTCGTCGTCGACGGCGCCCGAAAACGGCCTCCGGAGGCCGAAACAGGCGGCAAACGTCGTCGTCGTCGTCGTCGACCTCGTCGCTCGTCGCTCGTCGATCATCGTCGTCGCGCGCGCGGGCGCGGGCGTGGTGCCGGGACCACGCGGCGGGCTTTGCGCTTGTACTCGAATCGCAAGCCACTGTGGTGCTCTCAGGCAGAGAGTGCTGCTCGCGCGCATACTATGGCGATCGCAGAGCGCCCCTGCTTCGCCATACCCCGCCCAGCCCAAGCGTTACCGTTACCCGGGGGGCACGACCCCCCCCCCCCCCCCGGGTAACGAGCGTTACCGGCCGGAATAAAAAAATGATCTCATAGCAGTGGCAGCGGCAGGCGGGTTCGAGGTTCGAGGTTTTCGGACGACTTCGGCGGCTCCTGGCGATTTTCTGGCCGCGGGATGCTTCCCAGCGGCTGCGCCTCGCCGAGGGCGTTCTGGGCCTTCCAGGATCATCCAGAACGGACCCGAGTTATGATCCGAATTCTAAAGTTATGGGGGGAAAGGCATATGACTAGGGGGGATGCATCGACCCCCAATCGCCCATTGATCGCCGATAGAGACCCGATAGCCCCATCTCGCCCAGGAGCGTGGGGATTGGTCATCGGGGGCCTATCGCCAATCTAACTCGGCGATGTATCGCCGATTCCAGGTCGATGTTCCCCCCTTATGCCAGTCCCCAGTATCGTTGCCCCTCAGGCGGGGTTCAGTGCAAACGGGGGTCAGCCATGGCTTGGCATCGCTCGGACGTGTGTTTTTCTTTTTGGGGGGGTGCGAGGACCATCGCGGAACATCCTGGATCATCTTGCGAACATGATCGACCCACGAACCCGGAAAAGGAATATAGAAATGTAATGCATTGCAACATTTCACAGACACCTGATTGGGCGACGGGCACATGCAATGCTGAATGTATCGATGATGATGTACTGTGCCGAGGGCTGTGCTGTGCTACGCCGTGCTGAACTGCGATGTGCCATGCCGCGATTGTGCTCTGTATAGCGTTGTGGATCGAGTCCTCCCTGGCATCCGAGTCCTCACCGAACTGATCTGGAGCGTAAGCTCGAGCTGCCTGAGCAGATGGTAGCTGCCCCAGAACTAATCGACAGAGGGAACATGCCAGGAGGACGCGCCGCGGAACGTCCCAAGGGACACGCCAGGCGACGTGCCAGGGGACGTGCCATGGGCACGCACCGCGGGACGTGCCAAGGGGACGCGCTACGGAACGTGCCAATGGACGTGCCGAGGGACGTGCCAGGGGACGCGCCGCGCGACGTGCCAGGTAGACTCGCCACGGAACGCGCCAAGGAACGTGCCAAGGTGCATAGTTGAGTGTATCGATCTTGATGTACCGTGCCGACGGCTGTGCTGTGCTACGCCGTGCTGAACTGCGATGTGCCATGCCGCGATTGTGCTCTATATAGCGTTGTGGATCGAGTCCTCCCTGGCATCCGAGTCCTCACCGAACTGATCTGGAGCGTAAGCTCGAGCTACCTGAGCAGAGGTAGCTGCCCCAGAACTAATCGACAGAGGGAAAATGCCAAGAGGACGCGCCGCGGAACGTCCCAAGGGACGCGCCAGGCGACGTGCCAGGGGACGTGCCATGGGCACGCACCGCGGGACGTGCCAAGGGGACGCGCTACGGAACGTGCCAATGGACGTGCCGAGGGACGTGCCAGGGGGACTCGCCACGGGACGCTCCGCGGAACGTGCCAGGCAACATGCCAGGCTGCAATGCTAAGGGTATCGATATTGATGTACCGTGCCGAGGGCTGTGCTGTGCCTGGGCGACCTGGACACGTGAAAACACCCGTTTCGCTCAAGACGTTGTCAGCACATCCTCATGCTAGACATCCGCCTGGGCAACCTGGACACGTGCAAACAAGCGTCTCGCTCGAGACATCCTCAACAAATGCTCATGCTAGACATCCGCCTGGGCGACCTGGACACGTGAAAACAAGCCTCTGGTTCGAGACATCCTCAACAAATCCTCATGCTAGACATCTGTCTGGGCCACCTGGAGGCGTGAAACCAAGCGTCTCGCTCGAGACATCCTCAAGACCTGGGCACGTGAAAACAAGCATTTTACTTCAGAGATCCTCTGAATTCTGGTCTCTGGTCCCCAGGAGAAGACAATATATCACACAAAACACGCGTTTCGCTCGAGACATCCTCAACAAATTCTGACAAACTAGCGTTTCGCTCGAGACATCCTCAATGTTTAATTCGCCGGCCCTACGCGACCTCGTTATTTATCGCAAAAGAAATTCGCCGGCCCTACAGCCGTCAAAACCGGGGGGAAACCAACTAAAAGAGAACCCTGGGCCGTTGCCCTTTCCGGGAAAAATACACGCGCGACATCGAAACGTGCAGAGGGAATGGACGTCCGAGCGATGGCGAGCTAAAGCACACGTCCGAGCGGTGCTAAGGCTTGGCATCGCTCGGACCTGTGCATCATTTGGGGGCGAGGACCACCGAGGAACACCCTGGATCACCTCACAGTACACGCGCGACACCGAAACGTGCACGGGTAATGGACTTCCGAGCGATGGCGAGAGGAGGAAAAGATACCGACGCCACTGCTGGATTCGCCTCGAAGTTCTGGCCCGAGCGCACCTGGTTTGCTTCGGTTTCGGGTCGCGGCCTACAAAGATCGGGCCGGACGAGACGGTTCGATAGGGGGGGGTACGAAATTTGTTGCATGCAGCTGGTTTCGGCCCCACCGCCGAGCCCATTCCTCGATACGTGGGCGCCTCCCGGCGCCAGGAGGCGCTGGGGAAACCAGCTACGTGAGCTGATTCTCTACCCCACCCTTTGCTGTTCTACCCTTTCGTGCGCCTCGAGAATGGTGTGGTTACGCTGGGGTGTGAGTGCGGTCTGCGTCGTTGGGGCTTGGGGTGCACCACGCTGTCCTCGCCGGGCCTCCTCGGGGCGCGACGGAGAACTCCGTCGAGGTCCTCGCCCGCCCCCCAGGGTGCGGGTTGCAAACTGCACCGTTTGCAAACCACACCTTTCGGAGTCGCCGATCGGGCCTCGAAGCAGAACAAATTGCACAACCATGAACTGTCGATGATCCGCACGGATTTCTTGGATCTGCGCGGGGCCCCCCTGCGGCGCCACTAGCGTACTCCGCACGCTGGGGAGGGTGGGTCCAGCGCAGATCCAAGAAACCCGCGCGGACCCTCGAAGATTCACAGATTCATGCAACGGGTCCTTCCCCGAGGGTCCAGGTCTGGCAGCTGCGCACTGCCGAGAGTGTCCCCAGGGTGCCAGGATCGTTCCGAACGGCCGCTGGAGGCCCGAGGTATGGCCCGAAAACCCGGTCCGACGAGTGTACCGTTGGCAACCTCAAGGGCTCCCTCGAGGGCGCGAAGTTATTCGCGCTTCGCGGTCCTCGATCCTTCTCCCCCTCCTCCTCGTCCTCCTTTTCTCCCTTTGGGGGGGCGGCGCGAGAGCGCGAAGTTATTCGCGCTTCGCGCTTCGCGCAGCGCGAAGCGCGAAGTTGGGAGCCCTAGCAACCTGCAGTCAAAAGACGCTGCAATGAGGACCACTTTCGGATATTTCGGGGCTCTGGTCTTCGGGCCGCTCGCTCGATCTGGGGCAGGGGACCGATTGGCGGCCGAGGCT